GGCAAAGAGAGTTGGCCAAGGTGTTGGAGGAACCTGCAATGCCAGATCAGGGGCAGGAGTACACTGAGCCCCTCGAGTCTAGATTTCCTGCACCAGTGAATTAAGGCCAGTGAAATCTGTCCGGTGCTCCTCATCGCTTCCTGAGCAGATCAAGTGGGACAAGGGCCTCAGGGTGCTTCCGGAAATGGAAGACACAGTATTTGTGTGGACAGAGTGGTTGAAGCCTTGCTATGATTCACCCGGACCTCCAAGGAGGTCACAGCTGGCCTCTTTGATGGCCGCATTCCATGGGGAGGGGGTTCAGGACACGCCACCTCAAATATGGCACCTTGGTATATTGAATATTTTAAGCAGATGGAATTTGAGAAATGGCAGGCGCAAGAAGGACTCTGACCTTTCCCTGAAGGAGGTCACAAGACCTTCACGTGAGAGGTTCCCTCTCTGTACCTGGAGGAAGGAAGCATCTTCACTTCCGAGGGATCTGAACAAACCACCCTGCTGAGTGTCCCCAGCTTACTGCCCTTAGCTCAGACCCTTCTATCTGAGGTAGGACTCCCCATCCTTCATCCAACGCAGCAAAAAACGCTCAGCTCGAACCACTTCTGTGGGTCTTCATTTCCTTATAAAATCTCCCGTGTCGCCTAAAACGTATACGAACTAGACCTGTATCCTTTTGTCTTGTGAATTCGTCTTTTGCTACAGGGGGCCCCGCCAAGAACCTAGAAGGGTGGAATGAAGAGTAGACCTTGAAACAAGGATTTGGGAGCAAGGGGTTTATGTGAGAAGGGGTCCCAGGAAGCTGGTAGAATGAGCTAGAAGGGAAGGAAGTCAACACGGGTGCATTCTCAAGGTCATTCTAGGGGGCACTGAGAAACTCCGAGAGATTAGACAGCATTCTTCTCAGAGTGTCTCAATGTCCCTCCTTCTTATCCCATTTTCTGATTTTACCCATTAGGAAACACCCCCAAGGGGCCAAGGAGCATACCCAGAACTGCCCACTCATATTGCACATTTCATTATGCACCCGCTGTGTGCCAGGCCCTGGGCTGAGAGCTGGGTATGCGAGGTGAAGAAGGAGCAGGTACTTTGTCCTCCTGAGCATGCATCTGAACCGTCCCCCTAGAGGGACGAGGAGGCTGGGTATGCATCCAATAAATAGTCATTGGTCAAGGCTGCTCCCGGGTGGTGTCAACTCCCCAGCACTTCTCACCTGCCTCATGTGCAGGCTGAGTGGGCTCCAGTGACCTGAGAAAGCCCTGGGTAAGCGTCAAGGATGCTGGCACTGCCAGGAAGAGCGAGGGGTAAGAGGATGTGGGCATGGTGGAATAACCATTGGCAGCATCTGCCTCCTCCCTTTCACAGAGGGCTCCTTCCTGCCCTCAGGTCTCCACCCAAGTGCCACCTTCCTCGGAGGCCCTGCCTGACCCCCATCTAAATGGCACCCAGCATCTCATTCCTTCTCGGCACTGCACCCCACCTGCCCCTTCATTGCATGCCCACGGTTTAGAATCACTTCTTTGCAGAATATGGAATGATGTATTCATCTACATTTTGCCGTGTCTCCCCCACTAGATTGCAAAGCCGTGCTTTTCTCATTCCCCCCTGTATCCCTGGGCACCTTCCACCAAGCCAGGGTCCTAGTAGGTGCTCAACTAAATAGCCTTGGAGGGAATACATTCTTGTCAATTCCAACCTGGGAGTTCTGGGCTCTGGGGCTAAGACCTAGAAAGGCATTTGATAGATGGGCCTCTGGGATGCTCAGAGAGGCAATGATCTGTCCAAGGTCATACAACTGGGGATACACACCTGCACCCGTGGGGGCAGAAGTCCTGATGATCCACCCGACTTCCATCCCTCCAGGGCCCCCTCAGTGGGACAAAAAGCACCAGGAGCCCCTGGGGCTCCTCTAGGCTACCCGGGAAATTGCTCTCAGCCAATTCTTGGTAATCTTCTCAGCCTCATTCTCTCCCCACTTTCCCCAGCAGAAGAGGAACCGGCTCAGACAGCTGTGGAGCTGGGACTCTCTCTTGTTGAGATGCATTAATTTGTAAATATCTTCATTTATATGTAAATGCGGAGTCCCGCGCCCGCCCCCAGCCCTGACGGGGCTCTGCAGCCTAGAGAGGCAGTGGCCCCTAGCATGGCTGGCTGGGAGGGCCCGACAATCCTCCGTGATCCTCTTAGGTTCCAGAGGTTCTGCTCCTTCCTTCCCTCACCCTTGGTAATCAACAAACAGGACGGCTCAGCTCCCTGGGGTGCTCTCTGATTGGGAGGCCACCCCTGTCACCAAGGTTCAGGGAGAAGGTGGGGGAGACTGGTTCCCATGTAGGAAAGGAAAGAGCACTGGCTCCTAAGATCAGGCTTAAGTCAGTGCCACTGTGTGACCTCAGGCAAGTCTCATTCCCTCTCTGGGCCTCGGCTTCCACAACTGAAAAACAAGGGATCTGGTCAAGTTCATGTCATTCCAGAGGGAGACTGTTGGGCCTTGCTGAACTTCGACCTCTTCCGTAGTAAGAACAGGGCTAGAGAAAATGATTAATAATAGTAACACCTGTCTGCATTCAGGGGTTGTTTGTGCAGATCAAAACAGAAAGGGTGCATAAAAGGAGGCTTTATGAGATTTGTAAAAAGGTGAGTTTTTTAATTTGTTTGTTTGTTTTATGATGGGAGAAGGAGAGATTGTTCTAGGCAATGGCAGCAAACATGTACCACTTAGAGACCGGACACCAGCACTTCACCTGAATGCACCCGTTAGCACCTCACAAGCTGCAGCTAGCCTCTTAGTGCTGTCATGTTCCTTTGGAGGTCAGGAAACTCAATTGTGGGGTTACCAGCCCCAGATTTAACTAATGCCAGGAGGTGGAAGAGGCAGGATTTGAACTCAGGCTGTTGGACGTAAATTTCACTGAAATTCCACAGCAATTGTACAAAGCCAGTCATGTCAAGCCTGCTTCACAGGCAAAGAACCGGAAGCAGAGAGAGAGAGGTTAAGGCTCTCGTCCCCGGTCATTCAGTAGGCAGAGACTGAGCTGGGATTTGCATCTGGGTCTTCTGGTAGCAGGGCTTGCCCTTGAGGCTCCAGGGAGCAGGAGAGGGTGGGGCTCAAGAATATTCTAGATGGTCCCTGGATTTCTTTCTTAGCTAGAAATCAGAACCAAGGAGTCCTAGAGGCCATGCTGGTGGCAGTAGGTGGCTTGGTGAGGAAGGAATTCTCAGAGACACGGTGACCGGCAGGGGTGGGCTGGGTGGCATTAGGTTTCTGGGAATCGTGGAGATTATTTGGGAGTTCACTTACTACAAAACCATCTGTGGTTTCCAGAATAGCTATTTTCTCCAAAATGAGTTTTTATCTCCTTTTTCATCTTGATCGTAACTGGCTTGTTTTAGGTGTGCTTTAATATTTTAAGGAACCATAATTTCTTTTTGGAAGCAGGTTCAGGAGAAATCACAACTAGATGGATGAAGGAGTTTGTGTGACTGTTCACACACCTCTTCACACACCTTCACGTCCACATTGTCAGCATGGTCCTGGCACAGAGCTCGGAGAGGAGGAGGACCAGCCGGGCTGCCTGGGGAGCACACTCACCTTCCCATTTTCACAAAAGCAGGCAGAGGAGGATGCCTGGGCCAGGTTCTCGGTGCGGGGCTGGACTCACCCTTTACAATCTTCTCATCCCATTTTCTAATTTTACCCAATAGAAAATAGGCCTGAAGGGCCGAGGAGCATAGCCTGAGCTGTCCACTCATTTTGCAAATTTCATTATGCACCCACTGTGTGCCAGGCCCTGGGCTGAGAGTTGGGGATGCAAAGTGAAGGAGGAGCATGTCCCTTGTCCTCCTGGAGCTCACGTTCACAGAGAGACCCACAGCCCACGCTGGAGAGTAGGGCCTCCCCTTCCTCCAGGCTCAGAGTCTAAAGACAGCACAGCACCAGGCACTAGCTGGGACATCCACATAGCATGGTGCCACGGTGCACGTCATGTGGGCTTGCTGGCTGCAGTCCCCCTCAGGGTGCCCAATGCAGCACTGTCCCCCTCCAGCTTTGGAGCAGACCACTACTTTCAGGCTGGGCACCTGGCAAAGCATTTGGCGGTGTGGCGTGGAAGAGTGTGTATGTGCGAAGCTGTGCACTCTTCCTGAACGCAGTGAGATTCCCTCTGAGGAGGGGTGGGGACTGGGGCAGTTGCAGCCAACCAGCTTTGGGGGATCGGTTCAGCTGAGGTGAGGGGTCCCATGGGTGGAATTGCTTGAGTGGGGTTCTGAAGGCTGATGAGGAGTTTACCAGATGACCAAAGGGAGAAAGGCCCTTTGAGAAGAGGGACCAGCGTGTGTTAAGTGTCAAAGGAATAAAACAGGACTAGGATCTTGTGGGGAGTTTGTGGGAAGGAGGTGGAGCCACACACATAGGAAATAGCAGGCTGTAGAAGGAGATGGAGTCGGCTTGATTCTGCCGCCCCACCTTCTGGAAAAGAGGGATGGAGTAGGAAAATCAAGCATCTCTGACTTGAGCACTGCTTCTCCCCACTCTGCTGCTTTTGACCTGGGAGTCCAGTTGCTTGGGGTCATTCTCTCTTAAGCTTTGGCCCTTATGGCCTTGGAACCCACAAGAAACAGTAGAACATGTTGTATGAGCTTCCAAGCCAGGCAGAACTGCCTCACCGCCCAGCGGTCTCATTGCTGCCTGTGTGACTTTAGGCTCATTGCTTACCCTCTTTGGGCCTCAGTATCTCAACTGGAAATAAATGGAGTTTGGAAAACCACCTTCCAGGACTGTTGGAGGAGCTGGCAGAGGAGCTGGCCTGGCCCTCTCCTGCCTCTTCCCTCCAGGGGATGTCCCTCCAGGGAATGAGTCCCACTTCCACAAGGGGAGCCCCCGGTTCTGCCTTCCAAGCCCAAGAGCACCAAGCGATTGATGTGAAACGGCTGGAGAACTGCCCTCTGCTCCACTCTGCATCCCTCCTCCCTTCCCCCGCTGTCCCCCCGCCACCACAGGCCCTCACCTCACAGTGGACTGGTACACCAGGTCCTCTCGCTTACGGTAGTTCTCCATGTGTGAGTAGTTGGTGGAGAACATGGCGTCAAAGGTAAAGATCTTCTGCTTGATGGTGCCGCCATCCGTCACCTGCCACAGAACACAGAGATAGCCACCTGTGAGTGCTCAGCCAGCCCTGGTCACCCCTTTCCCCAGGACACTGAGAAGATGCAGGCAGGAAGCTCAGAAGAAGGACAGCCCCATCCTGAGAATAAGGTAATCACCGAGGGCTTCCTGGAAGCAGTGATGTTTAAGTTGCCTCCTGAAGGAAGAGTAGGAGCCAGCCTGGCAACAGGTGGGAGTTTTCCAGGCAGAGGAAACAGCAAAGGCCCTGCGGCAGAAAAGAGCAGTGTGTGCTCAGGGGAAGCTTGCTGCCTTCGCAGCACCTGGAGCAGAAAGGAAGTGGGATGAGAAGAGGCTGTGAAGAAAAATGTGGGCCAGATCATGAAGAGTCTCCACCGCAAAGGAGCTCAGCTTCTCCTGAAGGCAGTGGTCCCCGGGCCCAGGCTTAGATTTGATTTACAAGCTCCACTGGCTACAGATTGAGGACGAATCGAAAGGGGCAAGACTAGAGGCAGGGAGCCCGGGAGGAGGCCAGGAATCCAACATCTTGGCATGGGTGATGCAGAAGGGGACAGCGTGGGGCAGTTGCCCTCCTCTTGGGCTGGGCCAGGAGGGAGGACATGAAGTCCCCATTTCACCTAAAAATGCGGAAGTGGGAGAAGGAAGGGAGGTGGTGATGAAGCCAGCGCTGGAAGCCCAAGGCTGCCGGGCTCTCCCGCTGTTCACGGCTGATGGAAAGCGAACCCAAGCGTCCCGTGCCCTCAGCTGCCGCCCGCCCGCCTCCCCACATCTGCGCTGCCTCCAGCTAATGAAAGTGTTACTCCACAAAGCAGCAAGGTATGTGTTGTCACTGTTTCAATTATTTATCTGTTTACTCGGCTGCAGTTTTCCGCTTGTCTCAGCAACTCTATTATAGACTGGGAGCTTGCAGCCTCTCGCAGCTCAGCTGGGCTCCACGCTAACAGCCTGCAATGGGGAGGCCTCATGCCTGGGCCTCGAGAAGTGGAATTAGCTCCCTGCGGCTCTGCGTGGTGGAGGCAGCGGGGAGGGGGGCTGGGAGAGGGGTGGCTAGGGACGGGTGTCTCCAAGGGGCTGGGCTGGGGGGATGCTGAAAGCAACTTCCCCAGGTAAAAAGATGAGGATTGGAGTGTGAATCTGTCCCCCTGTCCCCTGCCTGGGAGTACTGGCCCTGGACACAGCTGGGCTCCTCTCAGCACATAGGTACCCAAGCTGACCTGGACCACATCTCTGTGGCCTAGGTGGTGTTGCTACTGGTTTAGGAGAGACTCCATGCATCTGGCCAGCATTGGTTGAGCACCAGCTGTGTGCAGACACAGGCTACATCTGTACCGGTCACTTTCCGTAGACTGCAAGCTTTGTAAAGAGTAAGGTGGCCTCTGTGAGGACCGGGGATGGTTAGAACCATGAGAAGGCCTTCTCAGGCTCTGGAACCCTGAGAGGAAGCGGCAGTGAGACTTCCCAGGGCCACGGCTTCTCCTTACCCCTCCATAATCCCACAACCCTCCTGTCTCTGTTGGGACTTAGCGACATGCACAAGTGTCACTTTCTTCCCTTCTGAGGGCGTGGCACTTTCTGACCATGTGCAGAGGGGAGACAGAGGACCACTTCCTCTCACCTGGCCGCTTCTGCACCACAGGCCCAGCTTCTGAACTGGAACCATGAGAGTAGAGGAAGATGAGGAGGAAGGGGACAGGAGGATTCTCCTCTCCTCTTGGGATCCATGTTTGCACTCACCCCAAGAAAGATGCCCACCCCTAACCAACCACAGCTTGACTCTGCGTCCACTGTCATCACCCAGAAAAATGTCCCTGAGCTGACTGTGTCCAGCTTGGCATGGGCTGGAAAAGAGAGTTGGCTGTACTTGGGATTAGAGCTTCCATCTCCCCACCTCCCGATGTCCCAGCCTGGGGTGGGGGCCAAGACCCTCCAGGGACTCCTCGTTCTCCATGCACCCCCTTCCCATCCCCGCCTCTCCCATTTGACTTCTATAGAGCCACCAAAGTACCTTTAAAGCAGGGTCTTTTCACTTGGGGGGGTGATTTTGCTCACCAGGGGACATATGGCAAGCTCAGGAGACATTTTTGGTTGTCACGACTGGGGAGGAGAGGTGTGGTTTGGTACTCTTGTGTAGCCGGTAGAGGCTAGGAAGCTGCTGATGATCTCACAATATCCAGGACCGCCCCCTGCCCACCTCCCAAGAATTATCTGGCCCCCAAATGTCAACAGTGCCCAGGTGGAGAAACCCAGCTTTAAGCCCATCGCATTGTGTGGCCGTACCAGGTCCCTGGGAACAGAGCTGAATAGACAGAATGTTCCCATGTTGCAGGTAAAGAAACTGAGGCTTGGAGAGGGAAAATGAGTCAGCTGAGGCCCCACACTAGGTTCCTGACAAGTGTCTGGCTTCCAGACCAGAGTTCACATCCCATTGCACCAGGCTAGAAGAGGCTGAGAGTGAACTGAATGCCTCTCAATGTTCCTTTCCACCCCTGGTGGCCGGGCTCATTAGGAGAAAGGATGTCAGAATCTCAGTGGAGGTGTGAGGATTTTTCTCCCAAAGTCATACAGCAGAAGGCATCCTGCCCGTTTAACTGGCAGCCCGTCTTCTGGCCTCGCCTCTCTTCAGGTACTGCTTTTTTATCTCCTCCTAAAATGCGGCAGCCCTTATCGTCCCAATCTCAAATTTCACTCCATTTTTTTTATTACACAAAAGAGAAAAAAATCTGTCAGTAAAACTGTCTCCTCAAATTTATTCGCCGAGACTGAGGGTTTTATTACTAGGAAAATACACCCGCACCCCACACGTCCACACACACACCCACACACCCCAGATAAAGCGCTGAAGAATTATCCGAGTCGTAAATCGCTGTTTCAGGCCGAGGGACAGGGGAGTTTCAAGGACGAGCCTAGTTTTCCTTTGGTTTTATTTACATCTGTTTCTCTGGGGCTGTGTCTGGCGCCTCACTGTCAGCCGGAGGAGTAAATAACTGCTTCTGTGAAACCTGCTTCAGGCAGCTGGAGACAAGTGCTTATCTCCGCTGCAGCATGAGGGATCTGGAGGGCAGGCCCCACTGTCCCAGCTCTCTGTGGTACACACTCCCTCCTCCCTCAGCCTCCCGGAAGGTAAAGGAAATGGGAGACTCAGACACGCTCAGGTCCCGGGCCAGCGGGCGAGCAGCTATTTGCAAGGATGTTATTCTGTGGTTCTTGGTGGTTAGAGGGCCCAAGAAAGAGGCCAGGTGGGAGTCAGGATTAGTACATGCTGTGGACAGAAGGTGTGGTGGGTGTGCTGGAAGATACCTCGCCTTTAATTCTAGAAACATTTCTCCACACCTGAGACATACAAGGGCAGTTGCAGCCTCACGGCAGAGAAGGAAATACATTTCAGACACGGTCGCAGTCCATTATGACCTTATTCACAAGAGGTACACAGTCCACAATTAGCTGAGGTTCCAGAGTCAGTAAGATAATGGCTGCAGCAGCAACAGGTAATTACCAAGTGTTATCCAGTGATGTTTTGATGCTTCTGAAGGAGCCAAGAATCCCCTTGGAGGGAGGGGTGATCATGGAAGGCTTCCTGGAGGAAGTAGGCTTTTTTCAGGGAGTGCTCGGTCCTAGGCTGACTCTTTCTGCCTATGGGAGGCTTTGGAGCATGAAGCAAGGCTGATTTCCTCCATCCCCAGTTGAATGTTTGATTTTGGTTCCTAATTTTGTGCTCTTGAAGAAGTCATTTCACCTCCCCTACTCTCAGTGTCCTCATCTGTGAAATGGGGATAAGGCAACACTCCTCCCTGTGAGGATTACATGAACCTAGTAGAGTCCCTGGTGGGTGGGAAGTGCTCACTCATGGGGTATTTTCACGAGCACTCACGCTTTTCTGGACCATCTCTTTTCCTGTGTCCCTCCCCACCCTCCAGACCTCTTTCTGTCTATGGGGCTGGAGAGCAAACTGTCTCTTGCTAAAATGCCAGAGGATGTGAAATTCAGTAAATGAAAGAAGGGAGCCCACACCCAGATAGGGAGGCAGGTGGGAGGTGCCAGAAGGCTGGATTGTGTCTATAAGGAGTGGGGTGCAGAGAGCAGGGACTGAGAATTTGCTAGTAGTCATCATAGCAGCTTCAGAACAGAGTGCAGGGATGCCCTGAGCGAGTACCTGGAGGCAGGCAGGTCTCATGGGCTCTGAGAGGCTCCCATGGTGCCAGTGGGCAGGGACCACCAGGCCAGGGCAGACCAAAAACTGCAGAGCTGACAGGGCAGACAAGGTAGGCCAAGCCCTGAGGATATGTGGGTTTGCCTGGCCCCAGAGCGAGAGGCACTTCTGAAATGAATCATTTCATTCACTGCATATTCAACAGACTTTTGTTGAACAAACAAACAGGTCCTTGAATATGAGCTACTCCTAGAACATAAGCTCTATGAGAATGGGTGATTTTTTTTTGTTTTTGTTTTTGTTTTTGTTTTTGAGATGGAGTCTTGCTCTGTCGCCCAGGCTGGAGTATAGTGGCACAATCTTGGCTCACTGCAAGCTCCGTCTCCCAGGTTGACGCCATTCTCCTGCCTCAGCCTCCCAAGTAGTTGGGACTACAGGCACCTGCCACCACACCTGGCTAATTTTTTTGTATTTTTAGTAGAGATAGGGTTTCACCGTGTTAGCCAGGATAGTCATGATCTCCTGACCTCGTGATCCGCCCACCTCGGCCTCCCAAAGTGCTGGTATTACAGGCGTGAACCACTGTTTCTGGCCGAATATGGGGTCTTTATCTGTCCTGTTCATTGCTTTGTTTCCAGAGTTTAACAAATGGCACTTGCTCAATAAATATCTGCTGAAGGAATCAATGAGTGAATGAATGAGTTGAGACCTTACCATGTGCCAGGCACTGGGAATACCATGAAGAAAAGGGAAAAGGCCCTTGCTGCTCTGCGATAGACTGGCCCCGGGACAGCCTGCTGTGCCTGGACCCTGATCTGTCTGGGACTCCCTGGTAAGAGTAGTCTGGCCCAGGTGGGAC